TGAACATTGAATCTTCTGTTGTTACTGTAATTTGTAACAGCAAGAGTTATTGGATGGGACAGGGTAGAATACTTATGGTAACCAGTATCCAGAAGTGGGATACTGCATTCTCAGGGGGGATACTAAACTTTGAATCCTGGTATCCCAGTTTGATACTGAGAAAATATTTAAATTTCAGACCCTGCAGTTCACTTTTCATACATTACTCTGGTCCTCTATTGTACATACGATCAGGCCTTAAAATATCTTTCACAGGACCGTCTGACAAAATGTCCGATGACGTTGAGTTTGGGTCGGACATATGTCCGATGACCTTCAGTTCAGTTTTGACTCGGAAATAAGTCTGAATGGCACAGATGAATATCAGCACAATGTATTAATTCTGAACGGTAAATGTTGTGAAGATATTAAAAAGTTTGTTTCTGTCATACATATTTCCAAGCGAAAATTAACTTGCTTTCCAGAAGAGCAGTATTAAAAAGACTTCGACAACTTAAGCCCGTTTTCAACTTCACCATTTCGCTTGCCGCCCCGCGCTCGACTATGTTAAAACAACATTTCCAGTTCACCTTTTATACAATAGTACTCTGATTTTCCATTTAACATACAAGCCTCTATAGTCCTGGGATAGGGTACATTTTGATTTACGTTGGACAAAGCTACAGTTCGGTTGGACAGCAATACACTCGGGTCAGACAAACAATAAACCTCAGTTTCACTTAGGTCGGACAGAATGTCCGGTGGGTTCCTCAGTACGTCGGACAATTTCACGAATGGGTCGGACAATGTCCGTGACCGACCGATATTTTAAGGCCTGCATACGATAGAGCTGTACAATCTCTGGTTATTTTAGCTCTGGCAGTCAAAACTCCAGCTCCTGCTCTGGCAAGGAAATTTCATATTTAAGTAGAATCATGCGAAAGTATTTCACTGTAATTTTAGAATTTATTTTATTCCTTTTTGAGCTTTCTCCTTTACTTATCAAATATATATGTGCTTTGGTGCTTGTCTAAACTAAAGTAAAATCACGCATGGCAGCGTGTATTTTCGCCCAAAATACATCAGGGTCAGCAGATTTTTGTATCAAAATCGATAGCAATGTGCTTGCAGAATTTTCAATGCCTCGAATCGGATTGAAGCAAGTAATTACACTTTATTGTAACTTCAAATCATTCAACTTAATTTTTCCATTATACCAAAAGTTCATTGAAATATGAAATAATCTTTTCATAATATTGTTTTTTCATGTTTTTCAAATAATTTTACGGTACACAGCTCTAACACACCAGCTTCTAGTCCTGGACTAGGGTAACCTGAGTATCAGGCCCTAGGTATTGAAAGAGGGCATGACACAATTCGCCTCTAAAGCCATGTTCAACATCCAGAATCTGGATGTTATGCTGATTGGCTGAGAGACGATAAAACGCATCATGTGATTCAAACCGGAAATATATGACCGGCGTATGTAAACACCAAAAATAGAATTTGTAATTTTGTCAATATACTGTTAAAAGTGCTTTATTTCTGAAATTTATTTTCAATTAATTAAGCCTAAAAATGACAAAATAAGTACGAAAAGACGTTCAAAACGCTTTTGCAGCAACATTTTACTCGGTATAAAACTAAAACTACATAGTCATAGTAGAAAGCGTGTCTAAATATCTCGCCATAATAGTCGCCGTAGAACGAAAATATGTGGATGTTGGAAATTTTCAAATATTTAGTTCCAAAAAGCTGAAGCCTTATTTATCAGTTTATTGCCGAGCTGTTTTCCAAGACCTGCAAGGATATAGTAGTCAGCTCGCTCGAACTAATATGTCAACATCAGGCAGAAATTGAAGACAATAGCCGCTGTGTCAGACGCAGTTGAAGCGAATAGCTGTCTTGAATAAACTATTAACATGACACGAGGACCGAGGAAGAAGAAATCCTATTCAGAGCGCCGAATGTTGTCTCTTTAGACTCCTGGAAAAAGCCATCGAGCTATGGTTCCCCGAATGAGGCATAGTTTACGCTTAGAATTCCATCATGTGGATATTTCGACAAAAACATACCGATTTTTCTCCGTATTTATTCAAATTTATACAAAACTGCAAATAACGAAATTTGCGTTTACATACCTGTAGCGGACAACCGGAAATATGCTACAACCGGAAATAATTTTAATTGGCTGATATTCTGGGGGTGGAAAGCCCGTAGAGGCGAATTGTGTCAGGCTCTCTTCAATACCGAGGGCCTGATACTCAGCTTAGGACTAGGGTACATTTTGATTTACGTTGGACAAAGCTACAGATCGGTCGGACACCAATAGTAATACCCTCGGGCCGGACAAACAATAAAACTCAGTTTCACTTAGTTAGGTCTGACAATGTCCTTGCGGCAAGTCTTTTCCGCGAGTAGCGGGTAGCGCAAGGGTGGCGGTTGTTCTCCTAATTCACATGTCTTACAAAGCTTGAAATTCGTTAAAATTGCCATTTCAACGTTTTACTCATTTCCATCGCCTTCTTTTCAGTATATGACCATTGCTTCTAAATGCAACATGACACTGTAAACAACGTAATATGAAATGTAGACAGAGTGAGCGTGCACCCTGAGAGAGAAGGATGCATATGTAAGAAATGATGAAATAAAGTATTAAAACCGAGTGTGTTATTTACGGTGTCTCGACACATTACATAAACATACATAGAACATTATGCCTGAACGTAGATTAATTAATGTATCTTACCTAAGGCACCATGCAGGCCGGCTGGGGTGGAAAATAGGCGAGCATACGAGCACCGCTCGCAGGAAATGTTAAACAGCTGCAGGAAATTTGTAGGAAATTCTAATATGGAAGGGCCACTATGGGAGCAAAAACTCATGGTCGTCAGGCATTTTTACTTTCGTTGAAAACAATAGTCTGCTAGCTAAGGTGTAGTCTATGTTTATGCACATGCAGTTTCAGCACAAATAACTCAGTTGGTGCATGCGCAGGAAATCTTAAGATCTAGGTTGTGCTTCCAGGAAGAAAACTGTTTTTCCAGCCCTCGGCCACCATGGGTGCCCATATTGTAGAATGGACGCATGGAAGTTTTGTTTTTCAAAATGGTACAAACAAATAGAATTAAGCCTCAGGAGACTTAATACCTTTCTATTGTCTGAATTTTATATTTCATATAATCATAGTAATTTATTTATCGCCATTCATTAACGGTTCATTTGTTACAATGAAGAGCTGTTATAATTTACTTGGTGATTACTTATAACTAAAGACTTTTAAGCCCAATCGGGTGTTGGGGCATCAATTTTCCATGCGTAATCTAAAATGGCTGAAAAACGGCAAATTTCGCAAGGCTATATTATCTGCATTTTACAACATTTTGCAACGAAACTTTGGAATATTACTAATTCTGTGATGCTCTTTCAAGCTGTGATGAAATCTTGTCTAGATCAAAATTTAGTCTATAATGCAAATGGTCCATTAATCGGACGATTGCGCTTAACCCCTGTAATAAGCTTAAAAGTCTTTAGTTATAAGTAATCACCTGAGTAAATTATAACAGCTCTTCATTGTAACAAATGAACCGTTAATGAATAGCGATAAATAAATTACTTTGATTATATGAAATACAAAATTCAGACAATAGAAAGGTATTAAGTCTCCTGAGGCTTAATTCTATTTGTTTGTACCATTTTGAAAAACAAAACTTCCATGCGTCCATTCTACAATATGGGCACCCATGGTGGCCGAGGGCTGGAAAAACAGTTTTCTTCCTGGAAGCACAACCTAGATCTTAAGATTTCCTGCGCATGCACCAACTGAGTTATTTGTGCTGAAACTGCATGTGCATAAACATAGACTACACCTTAGCTAGCAGACTATTGTTTTCAACGAAAGTAAAAATGCCTGACGACCATGAGTTTTTGCTCCCATAGTGGCCCTTCCATATTAGAATTTCCTACAAATTTCCTGCAGCTGTTTAACATTTCCTGCGAGCGGTGCTCGTATGCTCGCCTATTTTCCACCCCAGCCGGCCTGCATGGTGCCTTAGGTAAGATACATTAATTAATCTACGTTCAGGCATAATGTTCTATGTATGTTTATGTAACGTGTCGAGACACCGTAAATAACACACTCGGTTTTAATACTTTATTTCATCATTTCTTACATATGCATCCTTCTCTCTCAGGGTCCATGCTCACTCTGTCTACATTTCATATTACGTTGTTTACAGTGTCATGTTGCATTTAGAAGCAATGGTCATATACTGAAAAGAAGGCGATGGAAATGAGTAAAACGTTGAAATGGCAATTTTAACGAATTTCAAGCTTTGTAAGACATGTGAATTAGGAGAACAACCGCCACCCGTGCGCCACCCGCTACCCGCAGAAAAGACCTGCCGATGTCCTTGACTGGCCGATATTTTAAGGCCTGAAATGTTGATAATTATGAACAATCCCTGAAGGACTATTGCATTTGTGCCAAAATCCCACTGTTTTGAGTGAAAGACCATATGTAACCATGTTTAATTGTTAACCTTTCAGTGTCACAACAAGAATTCTCATTTATCATGAGAATTTAGTGGCTCGGGTAATCAAACACAATGACTTCACAAATGATTGTGATCATTTAAAATTGTTAGTCTCATGCAAACCATCTGTCAGACGTGTAAAACATGGCCCGCAGATCGCCACAACCTGCAAGCTAGCAAAAACTATTGCATATCTCTTGTCATTTGAAGCTGGTCAATTTGCTTCTGGATTTTTATCAAAATTAACAAATACTTATCAATACAAAATGACAGAGGATATAGGGGGTGGTAGATTAGTTGGTTGGTGGTGTAGCTAGACCAAGGCTAGATTAACTCCAGGGAATTTGTGGGCATGCTCTTCCAGAGAAATTTTGAAATCTTGATTTTCTAAAATGCCATTTCCTTCATTTTTTGGTATGATTTGACATGCAGAAATGTAATTTTGGCTTTCAGTGAGAAATCTAACAACTTTGTATTATTAAGTGCCCTCACTAGAGTGGATCTTTTTTGGTTGAAGGTCAATAATAAATTTGCAATAATTAAAATTGCTGCTATTAAAGTATTGCTGCTCCGCTGGTGGGGAAAAGGTTACGAAGTGGCTATTCGTACTGGAATATGGCACCCGATTCTTACATGGACGTAAAGTGGCAATATAAAATAGTTTTTTGCAACAGGTTTTAGCGAGCTTGCTGCTAGCGCAATCGGCAAAGGCATTGCGTGCGTGCAAAGTGAAACGAGGTCGGGTCCGGGTTTAGTTTTTGCCGTCGGTTTTCTGTTGACTTAGAAATTTTTCTTAAAATATTTTTAATTTTTTCCCCCCACTTTTTTAACTCTCAAATAGTTTATTAGACCTTTTATTGGTTAGGGTTAGAGAAGGGGTTGGGGTTGGGGTCAGGTTTATCTTAAATATTACGACTGCAGTATGAATAGCAAATGAAACTCGGCGTACTGTTCCAGTACGAATAGCCACGGCGAAAAGGTTAATATGCTCCCGCCATATTATACATAAAGCACTAGCTTTGTCACACTGGAGAACCTCCGGAGATCTCAATGGCAGACAATCCATGTTCTCACCAAAAATGTGGCAGGCTAAAGGTTAATCATAAAATTTATAATCTTTTTTATTTATTATTATTGCCCAAATTACACAGCTATCTAATTTTTTTCCCTTTTGAGATACTTTCAGAGGGCTAGAGACGAGTGGAAACCAGTATGCCTATGCCTTTTATTTTATAATGTACCTAGTTTTATACGAGTAAAAATTAACAAATATAAAAATTCAGACATCACTGCTTCACATGCTTCCCAACGAGTTCCCATGTAAATTACACAAACACTTGATACTTCAGTAGTCAAATAATCACATATTACCAAATTATAGAAATTAATACTCTTTAAATCGACAGAATAACACATTATATGAACTACAAGTCCAAGGAAAATCAGCCCAAACGACACCAAATTTCGTGAGCAGCTCAGTGGCTAATGAACTGTGAGCCACAACAAAATATCGAAATATTCACCTAAAAATAACGACTTTCTCTACAATTCTTAAGTCATGCTGAAGCAGTAGTTTATGAAGAACAAAATATTTATTAAAATACCTGATTTAAATCTGGATCTAATTCTCCAACCCCAGCATAAAGATCTATTTCAGTCCCAGCCATTTGTAAAACATATAAAAGATCTACAAAGCATGTGCAACGGCCACTTTGCTTGTTGGGTAAATTTCATACAAGTGTTTCCACTTTGCAAAGAGAAATTTCTGAATTATTTGTTTTACCATTTTCTTTGCAATCAATCAAGTAAACAAAACAAACAAACTCGTGGGTTAAAAAAATTTACCGTAAAAGCGCGAATGTATCCCAAACCAAAATTTTTACTGCATTAGTACATGTGGTGGCATATACACGGGGGGGAGCTTATATTCAGGAGGGGGCGGTTATATTCGGAGGTTTACGGTAAAAGTGCGAATGTATCGCAATTCGCAAACCAAAGTTATTTACTTACTGGAGCAACTGGAGCAACTTAGCGCGAATTTACAGGTCAACCTTCCCTGTTTTGCTTTGCGCGTGAATATGACTACCTGAGTGACCTGACCAACCATCATGCTGGTCTGACTTATCCGCAACAACTGAATGCATGGCGGAAGCTTGTTAACTAACTGAACAGTCTGTCTGAAGTTCGTAATATGTTTCATATTTGCATTAATTTTTGTAACCTATAGAGTTAGTTTTCTACAGATTCTCAGGGACCGCGTAAACACGCGGGGTACACTCAGGGACGCCGGAAAGGGGGGCGCAGGGGGCATCACCCCCATTGCCCTTTAGTAAGGGGGCAGGAGGGCGAAAGTGCCCTTATAGATAAAAAATTCTAACCCAAAAAATGAGGTACAACGATTAAAAAGTATGAATTACGGGTGAAATGTACGTAATATTGAAATATACGTGAAATTTTTATTATTATTATTATTATTATTATTTAATCTTTTTTAAAAACAACGGTAGCCCTTCAGTATAGATAAGAGCTGTTTTCCAAGGGGCCGTTGCACAATACAAATTTACCAAAAAAGTTAGGTTAATAATTACAATTAGTATATAGTTAAAAATTACACATTACACATTACACATTACATATTACACAGTACACCACATAATATGATAAGACTTAAGTATTATGTTGCATGAGGTCTGTCCCGAAGCAAGGTTTTAAATGCGTTTAATGACAAGCAATTGCTTTTCAGTTCTACTGGTAATTCATTCCAAATTTTTACACCTGAATAGCTGATGCTTTTTTTTAAAAAGTTTGTTTTGGGCTTTTCTAATTTATAATCGATATTATTATTTCGTAAATTATAATTGTCATTATTTTTAACGACAAACAATATATATATTTTCTAAGTATTCACCATTCGTGACTTTATGTATAAATATCGCCTTATTATTACCCCATCTTTCCATCAATGGCTGCCAGCTTAATTCTTCTAATATATATCCTTAGATCTGACATCATATGATTTACCAGTTATGACTCTTGCAGCCCTGTTTTGCAGTTTTTTGGAGTTTTTCGAGCAAATATGCATTTCCTATATCCCAAACAAGGCTGCAATAGTCAAAGTGGGGCAAGATAATTGAATTGTATACAGAAATAAGGGTTGATTGGGGGTACAAAAGCTTTCATTCGTCGAATCATTCCTATGCCTTTTGATACTTTGGTGGCAACCGTATTTATATGTGAATTCCATTTAAGTTGGTCATCGACAATAACACCTAAAGTTTTTAACTGGAATATTGTGTCAAAAATTGATGTTTTCAAAATTTTTTGCCCTTGCTTTGGTGAATTAAGGTCCCGGAAAAAATTTTCGGAAACGAAATATTAATTAGTGATTGCCCTTACGTCAACATTGCCCCCCTGTGCCCTACCCTCGCTCCGGCGTCCCTGCGTATAGTACTAAAATAAATACTAATAGTTGCATGCTCAGTTGGCTATACTATCGTCTAGTATCGACTATCGTTGCATGCAAGATTGAAATATATTTCTCCTTTCTCACGGACATTGCCATTGGCGTAACCAAAATTATCTGTTTTGAAAGGTGAAACACTGAAACATATTAGTTTTGAAAGTTGGGCTCCTACAGTATCGCAGTTCTAAACGTACGTAGGGTATTGTATATTTGCAATTGTATGATTTTTCTTGAACAAAATGACTTGAATCGGCAAGTAACCTCGTTACCCAGGGCTTCTGGGCTTATTGCTCTCAGAGCAATATGCGCAGAAGCCCGGGGTACGAGGTCTGATCGGCAAGAATCTCCACAACCTCGTCCCCAGGGCATTTTGCCTCTACGGCCAAACAACGCTAGTGTTTTAACAATTTTTTGGCGTCAAAGAGAGTATAGTCAAGATTCACTTACGTCCAAGGCCAGGGAAGTCTCACACAGGGCTTTTTTTAACTATATAGCTACTGGGGCATTTACCCCAGTAGCCCCTTTGCTTGCCCCATTAGTGACGCAATATTTTCCGATGTGATGGGCCCTTTTGATCATTAGTAAAAAGTCATCCTTGTTGAAAAATCTGCATGCTTTCTCATATCCTCTCACATTATCGACAATCGACATCCATTTTATAATAGTCAGCACAACATGGCAGCCTCGTACCCAGGCGCAAATAACTTACTAAAAATAGCAACACTACAGTGTTTTTATATAGATCAGTGGCTAAGATGAGCGAGCGCGCGGGGGTGCTGGACAGGACACGACGGGATTCTGCAGCGCAAGCACCCCGGCGCGCTCGCTCATCTTAGCCACTGATCTATATAAAAACACTGTAGTGTTGCTATTTTTAGTACGTTATTTGCGCCTGGGTACGAGGCTGACCGGAACCACCGGAACGACCGGAACAAGAATTGGAAATGACCGGAACCACCGAAACCAAAATCGAACACGATCGGAACAAAGTAGTAGAACACGACCGGAACAATAGTTATTTCGGAAGGTCAAGAAGGTGGAATTCTGTGTTTGATTTTGGTTTCGGTGGTTCCGGTCATTTCCAATTCTTGTTCCGGTCGTTCCGGTGGCTCCGGGTGTTTCGTTCCGGTGGTTTCGTTCCGGTTGTTTCGGATTTTAGTAGATGCCCATCAGAAATCCAAATTTCTTCTATATTTTGAATCAGCTCGATCTCTTCCGAAAATGTCTAGGCTTCTACAGATTATGCTGGGCAACTTTTTGGCAACTTTTTGCATTTGGAACAACCTTTTATGATATCAGCAACTTCAAGCAACTTCCTCCAGGAAATGCATAATTTTTGGAAATTTCTGGCAACATAGACCATGTTGCTAATTTTATTTATAGAAAGATAACGAAATGCTTGATAGCCTTGATCCATATTCTCTTCAAGCTCTTTTTCTTTGTCATAATTATGAAAGAATAGCACGACAAGGCTCGAAAATATTTTCCTTATCCTTGGCCATTTGACAAACTTTTTAGCTTACCATTACTTCTATAGTTTGGGAGATCCTGTGGCAGTCTGCTTGACATATTTGTAAACATCCATAACAACCCCCATAACTGCAAGTTACATTAATTTGCTAATTGCTGGCAGCTCAGACCAGTTTGCAAGCTCATTTCATGACTGTTTATCAAACCCAACAATGGTGCAGTTTGAAAGTATCATGAAAGTTCATGTGCCTAATAGTAATACACTATTATCAATACATATACTTGAGAAATAGAGTCTAGAAATTGTTCATAGCTGCAGTGTTATTCTATTATAAATCTTAACTGATTTTATAGCTTTTTAGCCATTAAGTTGTTATAAGACTTTATAGTTATATAGAACTATAGTTATAGTTATGAACTGTTATTATTGTATTTATTTACAGTGTTTAATATACGGTCATATCTTGCTTTGCACCTGACTCGTTTACGAGAAACTTTTGACAATTTAGGAGCAACTTTTTTTCATTTTCGAGCAACTTTTGAGCAACTTTTTCAATTTTCGAGCAACTTTTGAGCAACTTATTCAATTTTCGAGCAACTTTCGAGCAACTTTTGAGCATTTTTAGAGCACAATTTCAGCATTTTCGTAGCATAATCTGTAGAAGCCTAACCGCCGCAGCGATATATTCATCGTGATGTGGAGTCATTGCCAAGGATGGTGGACACAGGAAAAGAAGTAATACGAGCATTGCGCCAAGTAGTTTCGACACCAAAAATTAAATATATGCATTTTGATGGGGACCCAGTGAACTATATCTCCTTTATGCATAATTTCGAGACATGTTTGGAGAAAGACAATCCTGATGATTCAAGACGGCTACAACTTTTGATTCAGCACTGTACTGGCAAGGCTCGTGAGGTAGTGGAGAGCTGTGTTAATCTTCCCGAGGAACATGGTTATCAAGCTGCGAAGGAAACCTTACGTGAAAATTTCGGGAAACCTCATATCATAGCCCAAGCTTATATAAAAAAAGTTAGTCGACTTGTGGCTTAAGGTCATTTTTCTGCTACTGTATGTTAAGTCATTAGCCTCCTCCGCAGGTCTCGATCTCTATGGGTTTGAGCCTGCAAATAGGTTTTGAAAAAAATTTCACCAAACTTCCGACCATCCAATTCTGCGGATGAGATGCCTGCGGATGAGGCTAGTAGGTCATATACATTTTTAATATATCTTGAACGCAGAATTGTGTTTAAAAGTCACTGAGATTTCATTCAATTTTACAACGGGACTGGGATTTGATCTAAAAAAGGGCTGCAATGTTTACAGAAAATTTGGGCTGGAAAATTGATCTAGACCCCCTGTTCAGGACCCTCTTTACAGTCATTAGTTGCCTTGGTTTTCACTCGTTTCCAGCCATCAAACTGACATAACGTCACTTTATCAAAGTTTAAAGTAGCCTGCGTGCAGGCCCAAGGCAACTGATAGTTCCCTTGGGCCTGCACGCAGGCTAAGGGGGTCTCAAAACTTACGTCCAGATCAGTCATGCATGACACAAACTGTCCACAGAGATTATGTATATATTATAGGACATTGATTCCTGTTTGGTTTGATTGACAAAATAACAATTGGACAATTGTATTTAGACTTGAAAATGAAAGACAGTTGTAGTTGGACATTTCAGAGCTGTGAAATAACTAGATAGATAGATTAAGATAGATAGTTAGAAAACTATAAGTCAAGAACAGCTACAGAGCAATTTTGGACAGAGAATTTGTCTAAAAACGTTAATTGACTTGTGGCTCAATGAGGTAATTTTTCTGCTATTGTAAGTAGGTCATGCATACACCTTTTTCATATACCCTGAACGCAGAATCATCGTGTTTAAAAGTCATCATATCGAGATGCTCTGGAATTTCTTTAAATTTCACAGCGGGACTGGGATTTGATCTAAAATTAAAAGGGCTGTGAAATGGCATTTATAGAAAATTTGGGCCGGAAAATGGGTGTCATTTGTTGCCACGGTTCTCACTCGTTTCCAACCATCAAATTGACATAACGTCATTTTCTCAATTTTTAAAGTCGATTCTTTTCTGATTTTCTTTGTTCATTTGGTTAGGCTTAGGGTTGCTGTGTTAGAGTAGTGGTAGGGTTTGGGTTATATTACATAGCCATTTAACAGCTCGTCCATCTGCCAACAATTATATCATGCATGCATGTCAGTATGGTGGTTGGAAATGAATACTGACCAGGGCCCTTATACTGTATATAAGCACCCTGGTACTGACCAGTGCAGTGGTAAGCCCACTGGTACTGACCAACTGCCACTGCATGGCCCACTGTACTCCAGTGCTTCCACATTAATTTCAATTTCCATAATCCATATATGGCAGGAAAAAATTCTATAAAATTAACAAAATTCCATAAATTACCAATCGCAATGCCATCGCAAATCCGAAACTTTGAAAATTGGACTTTTAACACATTTTAGTACAATTTGCAATCAGATTTTCTGGACACTGAAATTTCCATAGAATTTCTATCACTTATATTCCAGTGCCACAAAAAGTTTTTAAAGTTCCATTTCACAGGCCCGGCCAGGGGGTGTGTGGTTAATCTAAGGATACCCAAATACATGGTATCAGATGCCAATATACACAAATTTGGGGATCCAAATACCAAATACCCAAAATTATAATCTCAACAAGATACCAAATACCCATAATTTAACTGTCCCGATACCATATACCTGAATACCTCAAATAAAACGTCCAAGATACCCCCATACCCAAAACCCCTGGCCAGGCCTGATTTCACTTTAAAATACCATGAAATTGTAAAAATTGGAAATTTCCATGAAAGTGGAAGCATCAATTAATATCGTCTAGCGCACAAAGAGAAAATAAAAATAAAATTCAGTCCATTTTGATTCGAATGTTATTATAATTTCATCGATTTTGGGTCTGAACTAACCAGACTTCTTTACTGTAAAATTTGTCACTCTGTTGAAGATATATTAAACAACGTTAACGCGATTTCTATATATAGTTTTGATAATAATGTCTGATCATCAGATATAAAATGTCTGATCATTGTGAGCAGAGATTTTTAACATCAGGCAGCTCGGTGAACCAAAGAGGAACACGAAATTATGAAAAGAAACCTTTTGAATGTGATGTTTGTCAGAAGAGATTGAACAGATCTGATTATTTAGCTATACAAAAAAGGACACACACTGGAGACAAACCTTATGAATGCGATGTTTGTAAGAAGAAATTCGCACAATCTGGTAATTTAGCAACACATAAACGAACACACACCGGAAACAAGCCTTATGAATGTGATGTTTGTAAGAAGAAATTTGCACAATCTGGTAATTTAGCAACGCACAAACGAATACACACTGGAGACAGGCCTTATGAATGTGATGTTTGTAGGAAGAAATTTAAAAGATCAGATGCTTTGGTAAAACATAAGAGAACACACACTGGGGACAAGCCTTATGAATGCGATGTTTCTAAGAATAAATTTGCACAATCAGGTAATTTAGCTGTACATATAAAAAGAACACACACTGGAGACAAGCCTTATGAATGTAAAGTTTGCAAGAAGATATTTAGACATTCAGGTAATTTAGCATCACATCAACGAACACACACTGGAGACAAGCCTTATGAATGCGATGTTTGTAACATGAAATTTAAACATTCGAACAGCCTGGTGTACCATAAAAAAAGACACACTGGGGACAAGCCTTATTAATGTGATGTTTGTAAGAAGAGATTTATACAATCAGGTGATTTAACTATACACAAAAGAACACATACTGGGGACAAACCTTATGAATGTGATGTTTGCAAGAAGAGATTTAGCCAATCAGGTAGTCTAACGACACACATAAGAACACACACTGTAGACAAGCCTTATGAATGTGATCTTTGTAAGAGGAAATTTAAAAGATCAGATCATTTGGTTAGACATAAAAGAACACACACTGGACACGAACCTTATGAATGTGATGTTTGTAAGAAGAAATTTGTACAAATAGCAAGTCTTAATTGGCACAAAAAGAAGCATTTGTTCTGCAATAGTTGCCAAATGGAGATTACTCAACCACAAAATTTGCAAGAACATTTTGTTCAGGATAAAAACACGGGAAAGTACGCTTGTAACAAATGTAACAAACGATTCTCAAATTTTATGACATTGGTTCAACATATAGCAAGGCAACATGGTAATGATGGAAACTATCAATGTGGTTTATGTCAAGAACTGGAATCGACGAAACCAACTGGTGTTGGATATGTTTGTTGTGTGTGCGATGTCGTGTTTGATATTCCCAGAGATCTTGAAGATCACATGGCCACCCATGACGTAATCTGAATATTGTTCCGGCTATGCATCCTGTTTGTGCATATATAGGACATTCAGATTCCAGTTTAGTTCAGTTTTATATGAAATATACATTGGCGTTTGTATCGGACTAGTTGTTTATATTTCTCATGCCTATTACTTTACTATGTGAGTTAATGTAGATCACTACATAGGCAGAGATTATTCTATGTTCCTGGTGTTAAATGTCTAAATTATAAAAAGTAGAATGTATGTATACAGTAGAGTGGTAATAATGGAAGAAAATAGAGTGAACAAATAAAATTATATTAAACAGAGTAGTCTAAAATATTATGTATTTACTGCAGGTGTGGCAACCTATTTTCGGTGACGTCGCAAAAGACATCATTGGATTTGCGAGGTTGATGACTACCATGTGTTCGCTGCAGCCCCGCTTAGATTGGTACGTGATAAAATTCTCCAACCCCGGTCGGAACTTTGCCGATAAAATGAATTAAAGTTGCTGCTCCGCACTACTGTCAGTAAAGAAAACTTGTGCAGCTGTGCTTGCCGTAGAATTGCTGACCATGTTCAGCTAGAGGAAATCGCTGAAATATGCGGGAGGTCTGACGCGGCGACCCCTGCCGGTCTGAACTTCTCCATCGAGGATGGAACTTCTCGTCCTGAAGAGAATAAACCGCGCCCTGGCCTCTCACTTGTAGTTATTTGATCTTCTCCAAAAATCTTTGTGACCCGCTTCTATGCAGTTCAAGGCAGAGAAAATCTGTGTGCCCGCTTCTAAGTAGCTCAAAAAAGTATGTGCCCCGTGCCCTTTTGCTCCGGCCCAGGCTTTTAGCCAGGGTCCTAAAAGAGGGCGTCCAATGGACCATTTGCATTATAGACTAAATTTTGGTCTAGACAAAAATTTCATCACAGCTTGAAAGAGCATCACAAAATTAGTAATATTCCAAAGTTTCGTTGCGAAATGTTGTAAAATGCGGATAATATATATAGCCCTGCGAAGTTTGCCGTTTTTCAGTCATTTTGTATCGATCGTGACTAAAACACCACACGAGTACATACGAGTAACATACGATTAACACACAAGTACATACGAGTACATACGAGTAACATACGAGTACATACGAGTAACATACGAGTAGATACGAGTAACACACGAGTAACATACAAGTACACATGAGTAACGGCTATCTTTAAAATAGGGAACGGGAATGGGGGAATGGGGGAATGCGGGAATGGGGAAATGGGGAACAGGGAATGGGGGAACGGGGGAACAGGGAATTGGGGAATGGGGGAACAGG